TCCTCTCGTATGCAGTTCTAATGACCTCGCTCAGGACCTGGGCTCACAGAGGCCCTTACAGGCCACTGTAGTGCTGTTGAACTCTAATGGTAAAAGCTCAGCGTCTCAGGGTGTCACCATGACCACGCTCTGCCTGGATTCCCCCACCAAACCCAAAAATAGGACCTTGTTTGGCACAGAATGGCTCTCCCTACTCAAACCATCAGTCAACTTGAAACCAGGAGGCAGTCTCAAGTTCTCAAAGTCACTGAATGACGTGGGACAAAAGATGGACAGCCTATGCAACAGTCTTCACTTTATAGACCGCACGTGTTCGGATGGGGAGCTGGGAGTGGAGAAGGAACAACTCGTGCAAGACGGCCACATCAAAGCCCTCAATGGTCAAGCCAACTCTCCTCCTCCATTTGCTTTCCAGCCTCCATCCTTCCTCAACAACTATAAATGCATCTCTAACCCAGGGCCTGAGTACTGCCTGGCTTCCCCTGCTCCTCCCCATTCAGACCTTCAAAGAAGCTCCAACTTCCTGCGCCTCATCTTCCCGTTCACCCGTTCATCCACTGCAGGAAGTCTGCAGGCATCTGAAATGGGAAGCTACGCTTCAAGGCTCCACATCACAAATTCATCCAGCGCCATGCTGGACGTCAGCGAGTCTTGCTGTATGGAGGAGATAGGAGACGATGAGGTGTTCGAGGAGGTCTCGTCCCGCTGGAAGCTGAAGATGGAGCGCTTGCGGGCTCCTCTTTGCTCCCTTGAGGAGGACAGCGACCTGGATCAGTGCTGCTCTCCACTGTCAGAGAAAAACGTGCCTCTGTCGCCCTACTCCCTGTTGGGGGACTGCTGCAGGTTGGTGGGACTTGCTCACTCCTGCTCAGCTCCTCTTACCCATGGGCTCAACCTCTAGAGTGATTCATCCTCATAGTCCCACCACAGCCCTCACCTGGATATTCATTTCCTACCAGTCCCTGTTTATCCTTCCTGTTAGAGGCCTTCTAGTGCTGTGATTGTTTCTAGTCCTCTACTAATGGTGGTCGATAATGAGGTTCGTATATGGGTTGTGACTGTTAAAGATCCACGGTGTGGAAGAGAAAGTGTCCAACCTTCTGTGTGGGATGTGATACATATTGTATTGCAGCGCTGTCATGGACAGTCCAAGCAGATTTCCTTGGAGAGATCCAGACGATACTTGAGGTAGCTTCTCAATTGACCCTTCACCGGGAGTTTGATTGACAGGCGATCTGGCCAATCATAACACAGAATCTGCCATTTTGTCCGACAAACAAACCAGACAGGAGAGTAGATTAACGGCGGTGGGCTTGAACTTGAAAAATGGTGTGTATTGACGTCTAACTAAGGGTGGATGGGTCTTTGCAAAGGGTCAGTTGATGTAGTTCAGCCATATTTAATGAGGTAGAATGGAGATTGAGATCTGATTACAGTTTTGGTTGTGGCTCTCTGGCTTTGTGATTTGAGATCAGGCGAAATAACCGTCGTATCGATATTCATCTACAGGGCCACACGGATTCCTCATGAAACAATTAGCGTAACTTATGAGGTATGTAATTGACTTAGAGCTGCATCCTGCCAACAGCAAACTAAATAACTCTGGAAGAAAAACTACTTTTGAGGTCCAAGTACTATTTGGTTGTTACAAATTCTTTCCTAGGTAGTAGCTTTCATTTGAGCTCCCCTCTAGCTTATAAGAAAAAAAGTATGGCTGCATCCAAAATCGCATACTGTCTGACTAGGTACTACACTGGATGAGGAACAAATTTTGTGACCGCTAAAAAATGATGTTCTATATAGTGTGAATGTGTAGTATGAATGTAATCCGGACATACTCGTCATGTTGTCATTGTCCTGTGACCTACCAGCATCAGTTGTGTCACTTCACTGCCATTCACAAACCCTCTCATGTGGCCTCATGGGGTGACAAAGTGTCCTTTGGATGCACAATTCAGAATCTCGCTGGTAGTAATCCATCCGGGTACTTTTTGCCAACTGTAGTATGAATACTGTGAATTCAGACATACTACTCTTTTCACATCTTGTTTTTTCCAACTTTATAGTAGGGAAGCATTCATATTTGGATGCAGCTTATGTTTGTTTGGAAAGTGGCTACATCCAAAAAGCTTTTTGAGAAGATCTGCTTATCTCTAAGCTAAAGTCAATGCTTAACACTTTACCTGAGCTTCACTAGACTTCTGTTTTTTAAATTGTTTACGTCTTAAGGGTGAGAGGAGGTTTCTTCCCACATGTATTACCACTCTCACGCAGTGCTCTTAAAATAGCTGACATTTAGAGATCAGCCAGCAAGACTTATTGGTTTAAACCAGAGCTGAAAAACCGAGGCTTGGAGATCTGCCACAAAGCATGCTCGGGTGTCTTGAGGTGTGACCCATGGCAAGGACACATTTGTATGTGGGAGGACCGTCGCATGTAATGGTGCATTTAAAGGCACAATATGTAAGATTTTTTCATTAAAATATCCAAAAACCACTAGAACAGTGTTATATATTTTGCTGACGTTTGGTGTACTTACATTATCCCAAATGTTTCGAAGAATGTTTAAATCCAGAGAAATAAGCAATTTTAACTATTGACTCGGACCGTGTCCATAGTGTCATTGTGTCACCTGCCAATGACGTCATAACCCCTCGATTTCTGGTTTTGTTTTACGCGCCCTCTAGTGGCGAAAATTACATATTGTGCCTTTAAATGTTTTAACTGCATCTGAATATTTAGTTTATGAGGGATCTATTCATGGAATACTATAGGAATTATTCATAAGTTTCTGTGTGCTCATTATTATGTGCTCAGTCACATCTGCAGTTATATTTTGAAGAGAACATTCTAAAGCGACAGTGAAAACATTCACATATACTTCAGCTCTTTAGAAAACCATTTACGAACAGGTGCTTCAAAGAACCAGTACAAGAACCTAAAATGTAATATCAAGACCTTTAATTTCCAGTAGGTCTGGATGATAATCAGAGAACTTATGCTAATTGGAATGTTTTATTTGTCAATGTCTCGAGTTAATTCAGAAATCTAATACAATTCATCATTTGTACCCAACATTTTCAATGAAGTCATCGTGCCATTCTTCATGTATTAAAATGTTTTCGTGAACATGTATGTAGAAAATGTATTGGTAATATTGGTGCATATAAATGAAAAAACAATGAAATACTATTTTCCCTTATGTTAATTTAGTGAAACAGGAAAATGTCACTGGAAATCATATTTGAATTTGAGTATCATAGAATTACAGTATCATATCTGCCAGTGTATTTACTATAAAGAGTGAATGCTTGTCTAATGAAATCATCTGACTGTTCTAGAACAGCAATTGTGAAACCTTGTGAAAAGGCTGGATAGAATGTCTTAAATGTGGTAATTGGATTGAGTCTTTCCATTTTAATTTAATTTAATCTAATGTGATTGTCTCAATATATTCTGATTAAAGTAGAAAGGAAGTGAGAGAGAGAAATGAATCTGGCCTTTGTAGTCAAGAAAAATATGAGCGATCATAAACAAAAGGAGTCCCATAAAGCTCTCATGGACGTTATTACACACTCTGCTCAGACGGACTGTAAAGCCATGTGTAAGATGATGGAGATGTGACAGGCTTCGTTTTTCTCTTTCTCTGTGCTGTTTCTTGCTCTGATCTTGTAGAGCCCTGACTGGATCATGCGTGTCTGAAAATAGTCATTATCCTGGTCATTCAGTCTGAAAAGCCTCTGGACGCTGACACAGAAGCAATCTTCCCTCTCATTTGTGCCCCGGCAGCTAGTTAACATTTAAAGGACCCATATCAAGGAGGATATGATTGGTACATCCATTACAGTGGCTAAACCATGTGCTGTGACCATAATGCCGTTTGTCTTATGTTGTTGTTCTGCCAGTAAGTATAAACATCAAGGATTAAATTTATGGTTGTCTAAATATAGTTTTTCCTCATACCATTCCTCTGGAAAGTACTGCTCTTTGAAATGCTTGGAATATTTAATGAATGTCACAGTCAAATCTCTTGTCTCTGAAGACTTTAAATTGTACACATTTGGCAGATGGTTTTATTTAAAGCGACTTGCAGCATTCAAAGCGTGCATTTTATCATATTATGTTTCCTGGGAATCCAACCCATGACAGTGACATTGCAAGCACAGAAATGCAGTTCCCCATTGTATTTGTTTCAAATCCACCAGCAGCAATGTTAATGAATAATGCACAAATTATTTTGAAAACAGTGTGAAAAAATGTGCATGGAGTATATATTCTGTAAAAGATTATTTATTTTCCACAGTTTTGTTTGTCTCATTGCATCTTATTTGCTGCTGTCATAAAAAAAAAGGTGAAATTTGTCTTTTTATTTAATTTGTTTCCTCCGTTTATCTATCCAGCTTTTCTCCAAACCACTTGACCTATATAGGGGATGCAGGAGCCCGTTTTATTTTGTTTTCAATTTATCCATCCATATTTTTTTTTTTACCCGAGTTATTTTAGTATTATATTTGGTTTTCGCCATTAAAAGTCAGTTGATCTCTATTTTGAAATGATGTCTCTCCCAGATTACCAGTCATGTGTGGTGTTCTCTGAAGAGCACCAGTGAGATGTGAACTCATCTGTGATTCACTTTGAACTGCCGCTTGCCTCAGTGGAACAATGGCGCTGACATCCTCATAATATGAATGCTGACAGACATTTGTCACACAGTTGTTTGTACGTGTTGCTTTCCCAGATGACCACTAAACACTAGCTGAGTCAGAGATTAAATTCACATGCATAAATGCCCATGAGTGGTAGAGAGAGAAGGGAAGAAAAAACGCAACTCAGATCTCAATAACATCTCATTTCTTTCTTGGCAATGAGATTACATGGAGAATAAACTGAGCCTTCAGCTTAGATCCTGCTGTCTCTCTGTCTCTGTCTCTGTCTCTTATCTCCCCCTGGACACTCTCCACAAATCCAGCCATCCTTCCACTAACAAACAGCTTTTCCGTTTCCCCCTGCTTGTGTGATTTAAAGTTTAACGCTTCTATAGGTTCTGTTGATGTTTTTGTAGGGAATTACTTTCCATGTATCCTTCAGGAAAGGGAAATGTTAGGTTTATGTGGTCAGTGCGGCACTGATCTGAAAATGGTGAACGCAGAAACTGCATGTTTCCGTCCCAACTATTGGTTTATGTTTTAACCTGTTTATGTTTATAGTGTCCCATTATAGTCTGTATTTTTATTTTATTTTTATTATTATGGTTTATTCAAAACTTGAAAATCCTCACAGCAAATATTAAGAATCAGTTGCGATTACAGCTGCATTATGAGATGAACAGTATTATAGAATTGCAGTGATATAAGTGTGTGGTTGTTCATGTTGCTTTGCAGTGGTTTTAGGAGGATGACTGAGTGTTTCTCCCTCTCTCTCTCTGTAAATAAACTGTAGGATTTGTCACTGTGAGGGGGATGATGAGAGTCCGCTGATAACACCCTGTCACTGCACTGGGAGTTTGCGGTTTGTCCATCAGGCCTGCCTGCAGCAGTGGATCAAGAGCTCAGACACGCGCTGCTGCGAGCTCTGCAAGTATGACTTCATCATGGAGACCAAGCTCAAGCCACTCCGCAAGGTAACGTTACAAACATGTACACACATACAGGTGGAAAAATGTTGAGGTTTACCTGCTCATACTGCACATCTTTAAAAAGCACAATATAAAAAGCCTTCTGTAAAGTGTTAAAACCTGCCCTTATAAAACACACATTTATGACTGTAAATAATTTTCAAACTGCAGTCACTGTAGCACTCTATGAATGATGCTGTTGCTGTTTGACAACTGTATACAGCCTACAGTTAAGAACTGATGGAGCTGCATTAGGATACTTGATGGAAGAATCGTTTATTATTATTAAAAAGTTACTAATAGAATATTGGTACCTTTTATCATATTGCTGTATAGTAACGGCACTCAGGCCCATGTATAATGAAGTAATAAGCCACAAGAGGCTGTGAGTGACATTAATTTTACCACAGGTGAGGGTTTTTAAGGGCACTCTGCTTCATGTTTTTTTTTTTATATGCCGGTACAATAGTTGATCCGTGTAGATGAGGAGCAATCTGTCCTTTGAGATGATTCAAAACAAGTTAGTCCATAAAGCCTGCAGGAGGTTTTGATAATTCATTGTTATAATTAATAATTTTTGAGTGACATAAGATGAAAGTCTAGCCACTTCAGTGTTTAGTCTTTGTCCACTGCTTCCTTGTTTAATTTAATTTCTGATGATGTGTGTCTCAAATGGGGTTTAACATTGGGCATATCTAGGACAGCCTTTATGTCACCATAGAGATTATGCTTGAGCAGACTTCCTCCGAGAGAGAGAGAGATTTCCAGGTGTCTGCAAGATACTTCAGATGAACTGAGACGCAAAACCGGTCGGTGTGACATGACAGACTGACTATTAACAAGTACACTCTGCTGGTTGGATTCATTCACAGTTTGTGTTTTATCACTGGCTGTAAATTGATATTTGAGTCATTGTTCTGTTGAATAGGTTATGAATTTGATTGTGTTGGCAGGTGTTACTCGTGTTAACAAATGAGCACAGCATGTCAATGTCAGCATCCTTCCAGAAGAAAGAGTGCAGATCAAATCTCATCTCAAATTAAATTTGAATGACACCCATAGACACTGAAGGGGAAACAAGAAATTCGGATTAGCACTTGACTGATCTGGGGTTTTTTTTCAATGGTTGATTGTTAAATAACTACATTTGTCCTCCCTTAATCCTCAATACATGGTTAAAGCCTTCCTCGTGTCCCATTTAGTTTTCCCTGGGTTTGTGCATCAGGTGAAGTGTTTTCTTTTTTTTCTCAGAACGTATTATTGAGCCGCCATCTGATAAATTATTCAAAACCAAAATAGCTGAGGTTTCATGTCTACAGACATAAGGAATGTTGAACATTTCAGCTGTTCTCGGTTTTGAAAGTCTTGACTTTGAGGCATGTCCTTTGTCAACATGCTGTCTGTTCTTTTAAAAGTATCTCTCATTTTTTTATATCATTTTTTTGAGAGATTTTATGTCTGTGTGTAGACAGAGAAAAATGGTAATATAGTCTATTCACCCAACTGACAGGATTATATAATAATGTTTCCATTGACTTCCATTGAATTTTTCATTACTTGGCCAAAAGTATGTGTACACCCGAACACCACACCCATATGTGCTTGAGCATTTCATTTCCTAACCATAGGCGTTCCAAGAGTTTGTCCTCCCTTTGCTGTTATAATAGATTCCAGTCTTCTGGGAAGATATTCTGCTGGATTTTGGAACATGTGTGCAATTGTTTATTCACATTCAGATGCAAGAGTATCAGGGAGGCTCACAGTCGGTGGTGTTCAGGTCTGAGTTTGTGTAGACCAATCAAGTTCTTCCACATTCAGACTCCGTAAAACAGTAAACCACTGGTGCCACTTTGACAGACACTGAGCTTTTTGGTACATCCAAATCTGCTGAAAATGTTTATCTAAAAAGAATGAATGCTAATCTTTTTGATTTTATACAACTGTTAGCATATATGTTGCTGAAATAGTCAACCCTCATGATGTTCCAAACCTGTATGACTTTCATTCTTCTGTAGAACATAGTAGGTTTTTTTTTTCCATACAATGAAAGTTAATGGTCACCGAAATTGTGTTTACCAACATTCTTCAAAATATCTTCACAGAAGAAACGAAGTAGTTTGTCTAAGAAGACCGAATACAGTAATGAGGGATAGTTCAACAAAAATGTATTTTTTCGTAATTTATTCACGCTCATGTTGTTCTAAACCTGTATGACTTTCATTCTTCTGTAGAACATAGTAGGTTTTTTTTTTCCATACAATGAAAGTCAATGGTCACCAAAACCAACAGTTGTTTAGTTACCAACATGCTTCAACATATCTTCATAGAAGAAAGAAAGTTGGGTTTGAAATGACATAAGGGTGAATAAATGATGACAGAATATTCATTTTTGGTTGAACTATGCATTTAAACAGGCTTTTAATGATGCAGTATGGCTTTTTTATTGGATTAAATGTGTACATAGTGTAAATAAACAGAGATTAATGGATTATTCTTTGTCAATATAATGTTATTCTGGTAAAAAGGGTATTTTGATGTGGATTCTGGGTCACTGCTTGATAGAGACCTGCACTGAATGGCTAAAAGAGATCCAGAGATCACTCTCACTAAGACACATGAAATATTTATTAAGCAGAAAGGCCAGGTCACTGATTTTGTTTGTACTGCACTCTGAAGTATGTTGACTATTATATTGATTGTAGTCATCAGTCTTTCTTTTACAACAACAATTAAAGATCAAATGTGTTGGGAATAATTTCTGTATGTCTTTGTAATATCTGTGTCTGCAGTGGGAGAAGCTTCAGATGACCGCCAGCGAGAGGAGGAAGATCATGTGCTCGGTTGCTTTTCACGTCATCGCCATCACATGTGTCGTCTGGTCTCTCTACGTCCTCATTGACCGCACAGCAGAGGAGATCAAACAAGGTTAGCCCTGCCCTCTCCTTCCCTTCCCCAGCCAGTTTAGCACCAACTCCACCTCTTCCTCATCCAGCACCGTCTGCCTGCTTTCCTCCAGCCCCATCCCCCTCCGTACCATCCAGCAATCCTCATGTTCCCCCTGGATTTTTCTGTTGCTTATGGAACGATCACATTCCTCTGACTGACAGCTGTTTGTTGTACTCAACGATGCATATCTTGATGTATTCATTACCTCCACACAGATGGTTTCTTTCAGGATCTTTTCATTTGAGATAAAGGTAACTTAATATGGGTGTCTCGTTTTAAAGGGGTCATATGATGCTTTTTTAAAGATCATTATTTTGTGTATTTGGTGTAACAGAATATGTTGACATGCTTTAATGTTCAAAAAACACATTATTTTTCAAATACTGTACATTATTGTAGGTCCTCTATGCCCCGCCTCTCTCAAACGCTTCGTTTTCTACAAAGTACTGTGCAGCACACAAGCCACTCTCTCTCTCTCTCTCTCTCTCTCTCGCTCTCTCACTCTCTTACGCTCTCTCTCTCGCTCTCGCTCGCTCGCTCGCACACACACACACACACACGATGCGCAAAACTCCGCATTTGAACAGTCAATAGAAAATACTTAAACTAATAACAAAACAGTAGCTGATTCAGAAGCGCCAGATTGTCATAGCAAAGTCAGAATTACCTCCTCTCCTAGGTTCACGAAACGGTCGTCCATAAAATGCATTGCTATGCACAATCAGCTTGTAACACTCCAAAGAGAAAGGAAAACTTGAACTCGCATCATATGACCCCTTTAAGAAGTGAGAGTTGGTAGTTCTAGGGGTGCAACGGTTCTCGGTCGAACCGTACCGTTCTCCACAAACGGTTCGGCATACACTAGGACCGCGGTTCAACTTCAATCTGACAATGCATCTGTAATATGGTTTGTTAGAGTTCAGCTAATGCATGTTTCTGTTGATGGATACAAATTCTGGCTTCCCAATACATTACAACTAGAGCGATGAGAAAAAAAAAACAATACGTGGACAAACCAGTCACTCTTTAATCAATGCGAGTGCTTTATGCTGGAATAACTGTCATTTATGCCGTCATCACGTGTTGATAGCGCAGGTGAGACCTGAACAGCACACGTTGCTATCTGTGTTTAAACTCATTTAAGCCTTGCCGGTTTAAATATTAAAGAGCCAGAAGACATGAACTCACGTGCGCAGTGAGAAGATCTGTGTGTGTGCTCATGAAGCGTGTGAACCCGCGTCTCAGAACGCGCGCAAATATTAAGCTCTCTGTGATGTATTGCGTTTGAATGGATAAATTCACACACAAATTGTCAAAATGCCGGTCTTGGTGAGTATCCTAGCAGACATAGTTGGCTGAACGTACAGTATCAGTGCGTTCTCTTAAAGTGACGGCACGTTCTTAATGTTAATCAAACAGCAACAACACGGAAATCTCTCACTGCTCTAGACTGAATAACTTTTGTAACTTTAATAAGGATTAATCTTTAATTTATACAGTCAAATATGCAATGTTATTTTACATTTGATTTATTCAATTTCTGTACCTAAAAACTGTTAGACCTACCTAAAAAAACTGAAAAGCACTGTTTATTTTATTTGTATCTTTTTTCACTGTTTATTTATTTGTGCTGTTGCTTGTAGTTAGATTATTTGTTCTTATTTTGTTTATTTTTATTTGACAATATAGTTTTTTCCCTAAACATAGCACATACCGAACCGTACCGAAACTGTGACTCTAAAACCGTGATACAAACCGAACCGCGAGTAAGTTGAACTGTTGCACCCCTAGTACGTTCATAGTCTCATCTTCAGACCAACCACAGTTTGTTCACACACACAACTGGAAATCTATAATTTAACATTGTTGACATTACGCAACTTCTGATATGTACTTCCCCACTGTATAGAATGCAAAGAGAAATACATTAAATAATACAGATGTATATGCAATATTTATGATAGAGTTGGTGAACAATATGTGGGTAATGTACAGATCTGCTGTAAGTAGCTAAATAACTTGTTTAACAAAACATTTTTAGTATGTCATTGGTTAAATAACATATGGGTCACAAGACAGTTGTCAAGATGGCAGATGTAGTATGTTTGGATATAATTTTTATACTATACATCAGTATAATAAAAAAGCACACTTCTTTGGTATATACTCTAAAAATATTTGATTTTGGACACAACAAAACACTTTCTGTTTACTATAAGCGTGTGCTGCAGTTTTGTCATCTGCCGCTTTAAATGATCAAGCTCAATGTTTTTAATGTTCATCGGCTGGAAAAAAAATATTCTGAAAGTAATGGAGCAGTGTTTTCAACACAATATTGACAAAGGGGACCCTCAACAGAAACCGCTGGGAAAAAATACAATTAGGCTAATTTTGGGCTAGTTTTGAATAGCAATTGGCTGGTTTTGTTTCACCTGGTGTGGACTTCACTATTCTCATAGAATTCGAATGATTGTTAAAACCTTATTGTCCTTGGTGTGAATGGGTCTTAAGCTATGCGGGACTAGTTCGCTAATGGTATAGTTGATTTACTCACAGATCATCTCTCAAACTCCATCTAATCGATACCATTAGGGAGCTGTGGAGCGCAGGGACCGGATGTGTTTCGGAGAATATGACAGCAATGGGTTTTATTTCCATAACGGATTTGAGCTGGGGTGCAAGTGTGTGTGTGCTTGAGTAAAACACACTATTCCTTTTACCGCACTCTCGATGAGTTTTAACACTGACCTCGACCCGTATGCTGATGGGCGTCTGATAGCAGGCACTTTACTGATTTGCTCCTAACATTAAGGGCCCATTCACACGTGCCTCATTGTACAAGAACAGCAGCTTTGAAGGAGAACTTTGATCACTGTTACCATGGTTACACCATTGACTTTTCTTCATCTTGCATGGTAAGGTTTGAGCAGAGTCAGAGGCCTGTTAAGCGCAGTGCATGTACACATACCTGAATGTCTTCATGTGTCCATTCCTCATATCTCACCATTCATAAGCGCCAGATCGTTCCAGCAGCTATCTTAAGATATGATTTCCACCCTCCTGCACCCCTGACCCTCCACCTGTATCAGTGGCTTCATCTTTTGCCAATAGTGAAATAGTAACAAACTCTTTTTAATCATGCAGCGGGGAGAATACCAGGTAAACGCTTTTACATTTACCATTCTTTCCTCCTAACTCTTTCTCCTAACTGTAATGATTTCTTTGAAAGTCCTTCTTTTCCTCCCCTGGCTACATCAGCCGTCTCTAGCATGACTGTTGCAATGTGAATCAAGGCAATAATGCTTCACAGCCAGAACGCTCTCTGAACGCAGTGTGCCCGGCTGCCCCATACTGACGGTTGTGAATGTGCAGGACAAAGGCAATTTCAGGCTTGATGGCCACTTGGCCTGACTTTTTTCTTAAATCTATTTTCTGTATATATTCAGGCACAAAAGATTAAAGAGAAAGCAACTGTGAAGGTGATGTGTGGAACAAAGAGGCAAGCGCTGCATTTTAATGGACTGTGGCATGTTTTTATCTAATTCAAAACTGACATAAATCTGTATCGAACTGCTCTCCTGATATTGCTTAGGCAAATGTGTAGGTGTCAGTGTAATGAATGAGATGGACCCATCAAACCAGTCCTTTGTATATAATTAGGTTGATTGTAATAAGCAAGCTATTGATTGAAAAGGCCACTTCTATCATAAGAAAAGTTATAAATATGCTTGCAAAAATGCAAAAGACTGTCCTGTATGTGCAGCACTAACCTCATTCTCTGCCCTGTGCCTTTGATAATGATGTCAGGTGGACTAAAGCTGCACCCCGGCCTGACTTACGGAGCCTCTGAAAGCAGTACAGTATTCCATGTCCAAGGCCTTGTGCTTGAACAGACTGTAGCATTTAGAGACTTAGCACTTGGCAATTCCCTCACACTTGATCTTTTATGACATTTCAAAATGCTCTGTTCCAAATAGGAAAGCAACTAAGCAGCGCAAAGGTTGGCTGAATTTATTTCCAATGAAGATGGACAGAGACGCACCTAAAATTTCTTTGCTGCTGGTCTCACTTTCTCAGCCATTTCTAATGATTTTGGTCAAATGGTCAAGGGTGAAAATGCTGTATTTGCATTCTGAAGCATAGCCCTGTGTCCATAGCTGGCTCTTTAGAAGCTTGGGTGGGATATCAGGACTCCAGTCACCTGTCTTTGCATCCCTGCTTCTGTGTTTACCCCGCTGTTGTGCTTGATCTTGTTGTACTTCAGAATCACTTCGTATGCATATAGAGTTTATGTAATTTATTTAATTACTGCAGTCTTGCTTTAGGATTACTGCATATGGGTCAATGACATGAGGCTCTTCTTTTGGTCCGGGTCCATTAATTTATTTAATAGTACATTAAAAATGCAATTCATACATGCAACCACGTGTATATACCTCTTCTGATGGAACAGTCCTGAAATAATGAAGACAAATCCGTAATAAGTGAATGAACCCTAAACGGTTTGGCTGTAGTTTTAAGTGGTTAAATAGCCAACAAAATGCCACTTTTTACTATTGGAAAAACTGCCAAATCAAAATCATATGTTGTGACCCAACCAAATTAATTTGCTGTAACCAATATGCAGGAAAAAAAACAGGAAATAATATTATATAAAGGAATGTGTCAGGGTCAGTAAGTCCCTTAAATTCAGATAATATTACCTTTTTATGACAAGGCAAGGTTTTAATATCATGTGGTGTGGCTTCTCAAAAACACTCACTCTCTCTCTCTTTCTCTCTCTCTCTCTAATATTTATTATAGTGTGTGTGTGTGTGTGTGTGTGTACACATTTTTAAATTCAGCCCCTTATTTTTATTTCTCCTTTATGTATTTTTTTTATATTTATGTGTGTTATTTTTAAATGTATTTATTCAAATATATATTATTCAATATAAGGAACATTTAAGCTTTTAATTTTAACCTGACAGTTACACCACATGACATTTCTAGTTATTAAATTGAAACTTTTCTTGAAAATCTGAAGTTTTTCAAAATCATATGAAACCAGCATGAATACAAAGAGCCCATTTCTAAGAACTTGGAACATGTTTTTTAAACCAAAAGATCATTGACCCTTGTGTTTGATCCTGGATTGTAAACAGATGCTCCTGTTACAATGGGAAGTAAGCACTTCTAATGTGTGTGATACTTACAGCGATGTACTTTCTCCCTTTCATTTATCATACAGGGATACTGGAATGGCCTTTTTGGACCAAACTGGTGGTGGTGGCCATAGGCTTCACTGGCGGACTGGTGTTCATGTACGTGCAATGCAAGGTCTACATCCAGTTGTGGAAGAGACTCAAGGCCTACAACAGAGTAATATATGTGCAGAACCGCCCAGAGACCTGTAAAAAGAGCGTTTTTGATAAGCCCTCACTTCTGGAGCCAAACTTGGAGAATAAAGAGGCACTCGGGCTGGCGCAGTCGGACACAAACTCTTCCCAGTACACAGAGACGGAGGACTACAGTATGGAGATCCTGCACGTGTAATCGCCTGGCCTACATATACCTACCTAGAGGACTGGCTGGGGCGTTGCATGCTCCGGGACACATGGCGATGCCACACAGCACTGGGCACGAGGACTGTCTGAGACTGAGACTCGTTTTGTTGTTTAGATGTTATTTTCTCTTTGTTCGTTTGTCCAAACTGTTCCTGTGAGTTGTTGGCTAACCATAATGAATCTCGGATCATTCCAGCTACTGCCATTGTACTGCTGTCGTACAAGAGTTGAAATCCACCGTTCGAGCTGTGTCTGTGTGGACGTGTCTGCACTGGTTCTGATGGAGTCGATGCATAGAAGCACTTTTTATTTCCCTGTTCTGAAGAGCCCTGTTTTAATAATATATTCATTCCCTTTCTACGTGGATAAGACATTAAAACAAACTTGAAGTTTTGCGAGCGAGATGTCACATTTTATAGGTGCATTAGTATCTCCATAAACCCCTCAGATGGAACAAAAAAGGAATCTGAAGGAGCGATGAGGGAACATTTATGTACTGTCATGTATCATTCCACTTCTTTTAGAAATCTATTATGACTGAGTAAATCTGAATTTAGCCGTTGTGAAATTGACATGACCTAGGCTTTATTTTATATCAGCTGATTACTAAATAATCTGGATCATCTAATTACAATATTTATCCTATCAAGGGCTAGATTTACTAAAGTGTGATGCTACAGTTCTTAGCATGTGCAAAAATGATCCCATACGGTGACTAGTCACCGGCTATGCTGCTGATTTTTGCATTTGCTGAAGACTTCAGTGCATTAGTGAAAGATTTTAGTAAATCAGGCCTTAAAGTGTATGTTACGAATGTAAAGAATTCAAATGTCTCCCTGAAGGAAATGAACTTCAGTGTAGCATCATGCAAGCGTTGCAATGAATCAGTCATGATTTCTGTGTGTGAAAGAGATTTACCTTTATTATGAATTTTACCTGCAGAAAAATTGCAAGTTCTATCCTAAATCCAAGGTTTCTGGTTTCTTTTATAAAATGGATTATCACAGATCTGGCATTACTTCCGAGTTGATTTTAAACCACTTGAATAACAGAAATGACTTAAATAAGGTTTTAGCAATGATGAAATGATGACTTGAACTAGTTAGCAGGACTGTTACTCCGTTCTGCTTGTTTGCTTCGATTTTGAAAACAATCAGCAAATTTCCCATGGGTGTAATTTGAGGTTTGTATTTATTCGGTAGTATTGTTTAGCGTTTCAATGGCTTTAAATGTTGGAAAATAGCCATGTTATAGTTTTGGCCTTCATTCGACTTTGATCGACATCCCCAGCAGTGATGTGCTTCTTATATAAACTCTGTTGTGAATGAATATTTTTCATGCTCTGATACGTTCTGCCATCTCTAGAGCTACTGCACAGACGATGCACATTCATAATTTTTTAACCTCTTCTGACTGGCTTTGTGCCATTTGACCAATAAAAGATGCTAAATGTTCAGTTTGCTAATGGCAGAGCTTTTGTATTCCTTATCAAGTCTGTTTCTTTCTAAGGTTGAGTCTGTCTGTGTGCGACCAAGCAAATTCTTTGGATAACGTCACAATGTATGCACTACAACAATGCATTAATGCAACCCTGTCAGCTCTGAGATCATCCAAATCAAGCCAATTTTTTGTTGGAGATGTGAAGATGTCAGTTTTATGTCAGTAATTAAGATTCAATGTATACAATACCCAAGTTTGGTTTCTTTGATAGCATATTTGTAAAACAATGGGAGCTGGCTCCTTTTACACATTTTCCAGAATCTCTTTTTAGCACTGCACTGCATCATATTTTTATAGATGTGTTTTAAAGTGCAGTAATAGTCTTGTTTGTTTCATGGCTCGTCATAGAAGTGTTCAGTGCATCAAACTGCAGTGCATTACTACTGAATTGGCTTGAACATGGATAACATGACTGTTTCTTGCATCCCCCTCTCATTTCTTGTACTTTTTCTCTAGTAGTAAATGGTTTCTCTAAGCATTTTTTGAGCATTAAAAAAAAAACAACCAAATAAAGGAAATGTAGAAGTTATTTTCACCATCCTGTGTTGTATCACATGTTTGTTTTTATAAATTTCTGTAATAATGGGTGATTAAAGATCTGAAAACTGCCTGGATATGTTGAACGAATTATTTCCCATAAGAAAGTTAAATGATATTCTCAGTCGGTCATTTATGTGTGCCAAGGCCTTTAATAAACACTGTGTCAAATAGATAACATCAGTGGAGTTGATCAAGCATTTCACATTGTGGCTTTCTCAGTGGATACTGGTTCTGTGACACTGAAAAGGCTGTAATCTACATGTTTGTATTTTATCTCTGTTTCTCTTTCCCCCCCTCAGTATTACCACCTTTATCTGGTTGATTTTAGTTTCTTCGCTGAGATATGAGTGACTACATTTGTGCTGTGTTTTTAAGGGGAGTCTGAGTGGAGCAATAAAAGAAATCTTAAATTAGCCAGTGTCAAACTACGCCGTTTATTTATCACTCACTCATGAGTTTCAGTTTCTCTGAAGTGAGACCTCATGTGAACCTTCCAGGGTGATACATTTTATAATTTAACTTATGCTAATTTAAGTTGATTATCATCACAGTGCCAAATGCTATTTTACAACCAGCCATTTAAGAAACTGGACAAATGTAAAGCATTAAATCCTCATGCACTTTGGAAAAAATGGGGTCAAAGGGGTCAAGCGGCTTCCATATGTAATCCCATTAGCTCCACGTCTTTGCCTTTAGCTCCCGCCTTGGTAGGACACAGAAACCAATGAATTTAAGACCCACATACATGATGACTAAAATATTTTCAAATAAATCTTGCGAAATATCTACACAAACATGCGTCATACTGTCAAACTCTCAAATGGTCGCTCAACACAAGAAGAGTAGAGAGGAAGGTCAGAACACAGAATAAAATGGTCCCTGAGAACTGACCATACAGCTAACCTCCACTGCATTGATCTAAAAGCAGCTGGACCGTGATATTATTATTATTATACCCTTATTTTACCAGGTTAGTCTCTAGAGCAGGGCTGTCCAAACTCGGTCCTGGAGGGCCGGTGTCCTGCAGAGTTTAGCTCCAACCCTAAGGACACCGAGAGATTAAGATCTCTTTTCCGAGAAAGACCTGGCCAAAATGTGGATAACGACTAAATACTATAGAGACTCTTATGAGCATTTGACTGAATGTTACCAAGATATGAAGCCAACAAACCGATTAGTGCTTTATGAAGGTGTACTATTAAAAATTGTTATTTAGATAGAAAATCTAATTTAAAAAAATGTGGAGGAAGCCTTTCATCAAGTTGAAATTATTTAAATTAATAGTAATTTACTTTATGACAATGTTCACAATGTTAAAACAAATATAAATATAAGCTGAAAGTAGCCTGTATAATGGAGGGAGACTCTGTTTAAAACCTAGCTGTCACATAAAAAAAGAAAAAAAAAAGAATGTACCTTGATATTTACATAGTACTCTGGTTCCTGTCCTAAACACTGGTAGTATCATGGTACATTTTGGTACTTTGTTGTATGTGTCATGTATAATGTTAAGTATAAAGGTTGTAGGTGAGTAATAAATAAATAAAATTGTATTGATGATCTAGAGCGCCCCCTGCTTCCCTCACCCTGCAGGCGTAGCGCTACTTCCAGTTTCACTAGGTCCCCTCTGGGTTCCTAACACTAAACACTGTTTCTGTTTGAAACATTACATGTTTATATTTTTTATTGTGAATTGTATTTTACGTTATTTTTGTTATTTTAAAAAGATAAACATTTAGTAGAGGACACACTGAAGTTTGCTTGTTTTATAATGTATAGCATAAAGAGTAAACAATTATCATGATATGAAAATTTGAATTCATTATATGCCTGCCTTAAACCAGTTACTGACATATCTGTCAAACACTGATATATATTTGGACACTGCATGGAGCAGATATTGGTCAGATAGTCAAAATGGGGGAACACATTGGCTGACATCTTCACAACACTAATAAATCAAAATTCTTTGATAACCTTTTGTCATGGTGGTCTTGGGATGATGTGTGCAAACCAACGGCCTAGGAGAAGTTTTTAGAAAATTGAAAATGGCATAACAATGTCCTAGGGTTAAACAAAATTGAATGGAATGTATGCATTCTTGTAGGGCCTGATTCAAGGATTCAGCTGAAAAAAATAATTTGGCCTTATGGTTACAGAGTTATGAACTAAAACGCAAATATACAAGAGGGAGATCTACAGGCCTGTGGTCTCTGACTCCAGACACTTTTAGAGCATAAAAAAAGGAAACTGGAAAATTGCAGAATTGGAAAAACAATAGAATTCCCTATTGTGCTTGGACCCCTAAAAGGGTTTTAATCACTAGATTTAGCAAAACTTTTGAAACATCACAGCATAAGGAATGGAACAATCTGCAACAAACTACGCTTTTTTTTTTTTTTTTTTTATGTCCTGAGTGCTGGAACTCTACATATCTTACTGCTCATAATGACACAGAGGAGGTTTTTTTTTTTTTTTTTTTTTTTTTACATGAACAACTTTAGAAATGCTTTAGCAGCCCCGAGAGGCCAGTGAATGCATGGCTCAAGCTCGTGAGTCACCGAGCACTGCAATCCAACTTCAGCTGGAAGTGAAATGAAACTCTCTGGACACACAAAGAACACTCTTTGATTTCTGCAGATAAATAGCCACTTGCTCTTTATTTTAAATCGATGTTAATAGCTTCAGAAATGTGACTCCATGAAGTTCAACAATCGTTTACAGTTAAACGAAGCACACTTTCTTTTTCACTTACATTGAAATGAAAACAGGAAGCACTTCAAGACAATTATTGACTTAAGTGAGTGAGTGACGTGACGTGGCCAAGTATGGTTACCCATACTAGGAATTAGTGCTCTGCATTTAACCCATCCTAAGTGCACACACACAGCAGTGAACACGCACACACCGTGAACACACACCCGGAGCAGTGGGCAGCCATTTTTGCTGCGGCGCCCGGGGAGAAGTTGGGGGTTTGGTGCCTTGCTCAAGGGCACCTCAGTCGTGGTATTGAAGGTGGAAGAGAGTGCTGTACATTCACTCCCCCCACCTACAATTCCTGCCAGACCTGAGACTCGAACTCGCTTTGGGTTACGAGTCCGACTCTAACCATTAGGCCACAACTTCCCCAAACTATACACCTTAATAATATCTTCAGATACTTTATATTCAATTCCGGTTAAGCAATGGGAAAAAGACCTACAGATAACAATTTTTGGAAACAAATTTGTATAAACACATTTAGTTTGAGTAGTAGCACCAAAATACAACTAATCCAATATAAAATCTTATATAGAATACATTTAACACATACAAAATGTTTAAAATGGGTATGGCGGATTCTGACAAATGTATTCACTGCACA